GAAAGAGTGTGAGAGAGATGAAAGATGTTTGTTTGTGTATGTATGGATGTGTATGTATGTGTGTGTGTGCGTATGTGTATATGTGTGTCTGTGTATGCGTATGTGTGTGTGTGTTTGTGTGTGTGTTTGTGTGTGTGTGTGTGTGTGTGTGTGTGTGTGTGTGTGTGTGCGCGCGCGCGCGAGCGTTCGCCTACATGCTTTCATGTATGCATTTACCTTCAACTCATGTTATACCAACACTACTACTGTGTCGTAGAACTTCTTCTTACTAACAGAGACAAACAAGTGGCGTGGGTGGCCGAGTGGTTAGGCTACCGGACTTGTAATCGTGAGATTGTGGGTTCAGGGGTTCGAGCCTCAGCCCGGTTCGACATTGTGTCCTTGGGAAAGACACTTTACACGAACTTCCCACTTGGCTCGGTCCTTTCGGAGATGGACGTTAAACTCGGAGGCCCCGCCTCTTAAATAACCTAATAGTGTTGATAGGGGCGTTTAACCCATACCATTTCACCATTTTTATTTTCTAGAGACAAACGAACAAACACACAAACAAACAAACCCTCAAACAAACATACAGTATCCCATTTCCACCGTACTCAACAAATTTTCTTCTGTATTTCTCTCCCCAGGTTTGGTGAAAGATCTAGATGTGCACAAGTTTGAGAACGCCACCAAATTCTTGCAGTCCCACGAGACCTATATACTGGTGCAGAAGGTAAGGTTCTCATATTTCTGGTTTTTAGGTTTTTAGTAAGAGTCTTATGGCACTTGCAACACAATTAAGTCAATATAAGTGCCAAAAATTAGAGTGACATGCAAGGAAAATAGGAAGAGATAATGACGATATGTGAGGCAGCGTGGTGAAATCAGGCGCTCGCTAAAAATAATGAAATCGGAGAAACAGGCATTTTTCCCCCAGTTTGGCCATTTTTATTGAATATTTGTTTTTTGGCGTATCACCTTTTTATGTCCTTATGAAAACACATTTCCATGAGAATTTTACTGAAAAACATCGACTGAAGGCACGAAGATGTCAATTTTCTGTTTCCAAGGACTCTCAAGCTGTGGAAATTACCAAACTTTGTGGGCCATTTTTTCCCTAATTTGACCTCTGAAACCAGGCAAATGAATAAGCTTTCAGATGATACCATAACCTCATATGCCCAAAAATTGACAAGCGCCTGATTCCATCACGTTGTAACACATATATGTTTGGTAGGAAAAAAAGGAGCAAACCACACCCGAGCACCCGCTAACAACCATTCCTTTCAAATGTAAATATTTATGTAGCGAACTATAGTGCTCGTGAAGCATGTAGCACGTAGCCACAATATTCCAAGGCAGAGAAAGGGCTGACAGACACTTAGGGAAATAATGTATCCCAAAATACAACGCTCTGATCCCCTACCCACGTAAGTTAAAATATGATTGTTAGTTGCTCAAGTCCTTTGAGTATGGATAACTCATGTCAACTTTCTCAAGCCATAGGATATAGTTATAAAACAACAGCAACAACAACAATAACTGGAGCAACAACAACAACAACAACAACGACGACGACATCAACATCAACAACAACAACAACAACAACAACAACAACAACAACAACAACAACAACAACA